GAAAGAAGTAAGCACTGAGAAAGGGGAAAGTGGAGAACAGAGAGGGAGAAGAAGAATAAAAGCAGAGGCAGGGTTGGTTGGTTGGCTGGTTGTGGATCCTTTCCTAAATAGCAAAGTGCAAGTTGAAGCACACAACAACAACAGTGTCAGTCAGCTTGTTGGCTATTGGCGGTATCTGTTCACGCGGGAGAACAGAACTGGTTGGAGGATGGATAACAACTGGGTATCGTCGATAGGGATTGGGCTTGGACCGTAGCTAGCTAGCAGAGCTGATCATCCATGTGGGTATTAAATTAGAGAGACAGATGGAGAGTTGCTATCCGTATTTAAGGTTCAAAATCCAAATGGAGAGCTGATCACGGTACTCTGACTCAAATAGGTATAGAGGACAAGTAGTATCAAACTATCAATATATATGGCTTCCATTTTTGAATCATGTCCGGTGTCCGAATTCTGTCCGATTAATTTGTTAAGAACCAGTTGATTCCAATAATTCGAGTTGTTCAGTCCCTCTTTCGACTCGCTCACAAGTCTCTAAACAAGTGCTCTGGACAAGAGGATTTTGTTCGAAATCCAAGATCATGGGATGCTAACTTGCCAAAATGATACATTCCCGAGCCTCTACTTCTTCATCCACGCATTTCAGAAAGAACTATAGGAGTTGTTTGGAACATTTGATTATGAAAATGTTGTATTACGAGAATGTGTGTATTAAAAATTATGTGTATACTAAGAATGTGTAATTTTAAAAATTCATTGTTTGGAACTCATAAAAGAAAGCATGGATTATAGTTTAAATGAACTACGGATACTCAAATCTCACAAAAAAGGTAAGATTATGAATACATCATTTTTCTCTTTTACTTGATGACCACAAGAAATCTTAGCACAATCTTTCAATCTACTTTATTTCATTGCTTGGCAGCTAGAAGATACTTATCTAGTACTGGGTAATGCTTGCTAGCACAGAAATAATCAATTGGATCTTCCCTGCATTAGACAGTAATCTTGCTTTCCATATTTTTAATTGGGAAAGAGGTTTTAATTTTTAATGGTCGGTAGTAATTTATAATTAATTGTGAATTATATACCATTTCACCATAGATGCAAATCATTGGGTATCACTCATGTCTGTTTTGCTGATGACCTGATGGTGTTTACAAATGGTTCTGTTAGAGGGATGGTGGGGGTCAGAAGGTTGTTGGACAAGTTTTATAGTCTATCAGGATTAAAATGCAATCCTGCCAAGAGCCAGTTGCAGGGATTCAAAGAGAGGAAGCTGATATGATCTCTGAGGTAACTGGATTTCCTCTCGGTACGTTGCCAGTGAAGTACTTAGGGGTCCCCCCGATCTCCGGGAAGTTAATGAGAAAGAATTGCAAGGTTTTTGGTTGATAAAATAACACAGAGACTTAGAAGTTGGAGGGAACAGATGCTGAGTTATGTAGGTAAGCTGCAGTTGATAACCACTGTTATTTCAAGTACCCTACAATACTGGTTGAATCTCTTCTTATTACCTCAGTATTTTATCAAGGAGGTTAGAAAATTTGTGTAGTGAATTCCTCTGGAATATTAATGATGAGGGGGGGGGGTGTCAAAAGCAGTGGTGGCTTGGGAGAACTGACTTAACCAAAAGCTGAGGGTGGTCTAGGGATCAGAAATTTTCGTATTTGGAATATTGCCTATGTGGCAAGGCACATCTGGGACCTGTTGGCTGCTAGTGGTTCGTTATGGGTAGCATGAGTGAAGAGATATAGGCTAAAAGCATGAAGCATCTGGAGTATCAATCCTAACTCAGCTGGCGCCTGGATATGGAAGAGGCTCCTGAAATGTAGGAGGGTTATGGAGAAATATGTCATTGGCGAAGGGGCTGTACTGATGTGGGATGGAGTGGTAATGCCAAGGTATTCTGTAAAAATTGTATGAAATACGCTGCGTCCTAAGTCAGTTGTGGTGGAATGGAGGAAGCTGGTTTAGAACAAGGATGTTATACCAAGGCATGGGTTCTTATTATGGTTAGCTATTATGCATAAATTAACATTACAAGACAAGGTGATCAGTTGGGGCAAGGAGGTGTCTGGTTGTTGTTTACTTTGTCCAGGGGGTAGAGAAAACTTTGATCATTTGTTGGTGCATTGTTCATATACTAGATTTGTGTTGGAATCGTGCTTGCATGGTTATTGTTATCCATTTCTTGCATCATGGGAGAATGTGGTGAGTTTGGTGTGCGAGGGCATGGAGTAAGAGGGCAGTAGCTGCTCGACTAAGCTGTATGATTTGGAGCACTTCAATTAGTCTTCTCTGGCGTGAAATGTGCAATAAAATGTATGAGGACAAGTCTGTAAAGAGTCCTGGGCTGCTCAGTCAAGAAGTAAAAAAGGTGGTTGGTTATTGGGTGGCACGAGATCCAGAATTTTCTGATGGCTTAAAGGATCTCAGATTTAGATGGTAGAGTGATAGAACTACAGTATAAATATATAGATTTGTTTTTGTTTACATGTTGATAGGTTGAAAATGAGTGTACAGGTTTGAGATGCAGTTGGGAAGTTCCTAGTAAGCCTGATCTTAATGCAATTTTTGATTTAACCATCATTTTTTTTTTATTGTGTTCCAAGTTTACATTATCAAAGTTTTTTAATCCTTTGTCATTGTTTCGTGGTTTGATTTTTAACGTTTGTTGCTTTTGTTATCAACATTACAAGCTTCCATTACAACAAATTATAGTAATAATTTCGTTATTAATGACGCATGTTTGCTTTCTTTTTTTCATACATAATCAACTTCGTCTCAAGGTTTCAAGCTGAAACAATGCATTGTTTCATTGTTTCATGAAGAGTTGCCCTTATCCATGAAAATGCAACGAATTGTTTCATGAAATTTATGCAACGAATTGTTTCATCAACATTTGTTCTTATCCATAAAGCATTATTTCATAAAATGTTATCTTATCCACGATAATGCAACCGTCACTAAACCAAAGGGATGCGTCCCTTCGTAAATTAGAATATTTATATGACTGGCCAATCCAAAACGATTTGGTTGGTCCAACCCCAAAACCAGATTAAGCCAATCAGTCTAGTTCAATTGAATTTCTAACATCTTCTAGAGTAAGCAACAAAAGTCTGTACTGAAAAAATGGACACGAAACATGAATGAGATTGATAAGGAAAAATAAAATGGTCATCGCCCACAAGTTTGTTCCCCCTTATTTTAAATAATTTTTAAACTCACTAAGAATTTTAACCAGATGAAACCAATTATTCAATTTTAACCAAAGACTACATGATTTAAAATGGTTACCATGGGATTATGTCCATTTGAACCACCCTAACCCAGACATCAAATTTCACTGGTAGTTGGTTTCCTTCATGATCTAGGTAAGCCACACGTGTATCTTGGAACATGTGATTTTATCACGTCTAGAAGAGACACCACAAAAACTCACAGTGACCTTTCCCCTTACAATGTTGGAATGCAGTTTTAGTAATGCTTTTCCAAAGTGAAGGAACTTCAACGACGAGAATGACACAAAAGATGCAGATGTCTTCTTGATTCCTTTCCTATTTTGACCCTCATCCAAAACTCTTCCTTATGACGCCATTAATGGCGGTCATTGGTTCGATGTACAAGCTGCAGCCCGATAATGAGTTGGTGGACTTGGAACCTCCACGCAGCTCTTCTTCGGCATCGATCAAAGCTAGTTTCATAAGACATGAATGATGACAGCGTTAATGGCTGCTGGTTTTTGTTTGTTTTCTGTAAACAGATTTCGCAAAAGGCATGAAGTCTGCAGAGCATCGAAGGAAGCAAAATTAGCAGCTAAAGCCAATGCACAGGACAAGCTAGGGTTGTTTCTGGCGTAGCTAGCTGGTAATGGAGTTTGTGTAATTGTAACGGTTAGGGTGGACGAAGACATACTGGAGATCATGTCGTCATCACAATACGTTACATTTTTCCCTCCCTTCATTTTTCCTAACAAGTTCCTAAGTTTGATGATGTAGGCATTACACGCAGTTCGTCTCCATAGTAAATGGTATTAAATATATAATGATTGAACATTCAGTACCTACACTTTTCAAAAAAGTTACATATGGGTTCAATGTTTAGATGTCATCATTTGGATTCATGATCCAATCGATCAATCCGTTTGATACATGTATCCACCAATTCAATCCATTTGCCAACCATCTCTATATCAAATCATTCGATAACCAAGATGTTTTATGCTCAAATCTCGACGACCCCTATTTGTTAGGCACACAATATTCATTTCCCCCGTATAGTTGATAATTTTGAGTTGTTTGTATCATGTATTTAATAGTAATTACTAACAAGTATATAAACAATATGTAATACATAATCTCTCATTAAAATTATAAATGATACGTATTTGCTCACGTACTCAAAGTCTTAAACATAATATACATGGTGAGATTTATAATCTAAAATGTATGAAATTATCAACAGGCCAACTCATAATATATAGATCGACTTGTTGCTAAGTCGTTAGTATAGCTGACTCGTTGGCCACATTACGAGCCAGTTCATCAGTTCAAAACGAGCTGGCTCACGAGTTGAGCTGAACAAGCCACGAAATCGAGCAGACTCACAAGTCTTGCAACTAAACAATGTGAGTTTTTTGAGCCGAGTGTCGAACAAATTTTCCCGAACCAGACGTCGAACTGCTCTCTTGAGCAGATTGGCTCATTTGCACTCCTATGTGATAGTGTTGTGTGCTACTATTGTATCTCTAACAAAACATGCCCAAGGAGGAGGCCGGTATGTCAACACGATATCCATCCAGTTATCAAACTAGGGTCCTAGGGCCCTAGGGCCCAGATCGATGAGGAGTCCGCTTATGGGGAAGCCATATAAAGAATTGGCAACACCTCAGGCCTTGGATTGTGCGAGGCCCACGGTCCATAACCTCAATTTTATGGCCCATGAAGAGCGGAACTCGCGTCAGTGATGCCTCCTAAACCTCCGCAGACAGACGGAGGGGGGTTTAGGGAAAAGAGGACGGCCAGGTATTTGTGGAGAAAGGAAGAATGGCGGCCAGTGGAGCACGAAGAATCTTCCAATACTCTTCATCGTCTTCCTCGAAGACCCTTTTCTCCGGTGCCAGCTTAGCCGGAAATGGAGGGACTTCTCCTTTCGCTAAGAAAGCCTCCAAGCTGACTGGGCTGTCTCCTCCTAAGCCGAGCTCTTCTTCCCCGCTCTCACACCCTAGGCTCGCCTTTTCCAGGTTTTGATTTCGATTTTCCCTCATCATTTTCGGACAGTATCTTTCGATTTGAAGGATTCGAGGGCATTTTCGTAATTATTGTTTTGAGTCCAGGTTTCCCATTTGATTTGGAAATCTTCTTGCTTCATGTTTTCCACAGTCTCAATTTATTGGATAAGAGTGTTGTGAATGAGCAATTGGATGGAGACTTGGAGAGGAATTTCTTGATCTTTATATTTGGTGGCTTTTTGGTGACCGGTATATAGATGATTCTAAATGTGCGATTTTGTGATGGATGTTTGTTAGGCTTCCTGTGGAGCTAGGCGGTGCTCTCACTTTGATGCCGTTGCATAGTGCCACTTCATCTGCATTGTTCACTTCGTTGCTATCCTTGCACAGCCAAAGCTGGGGCTGTCTATCAGAAGGTACTGTTTCCCCTATCGGGGGGATGCGCTTTATGCTACATCTCCCAGCGCGTGATATGTATTGTTGTGGATGAGCGTTGTAGTCACAACACCTTACCGGTTCTTGCTGAAAAATGTTGTTCATGTAGTCGGATCACTCGATTACTTTAGCATTTGCATAATGTAAATAAGCATGCACCTATTTGGCATGAGTAGCTTGTGTCTGCGTCCTCTTCGAAGAATGGTTTAGTAACAATGAACATGGAGCAAGGGTCGTTGGGTGCATTCTCTGCCCATTATAAAGACTTGGCATACTTGGGGGATGAAGTTCACTGCTAGCTAGAGTTTACGGGTTAGAACTAAGTATAGCTTTCCTTTATTTGATAATGGTTTCAATTGGTGAATATTGGCCATAAGATTTGATCGTTGCTGAGTGTTGTTGTATGTTTGTTCATTCTGTATTACCAGTAGGCTAGCATCTTGAAATTTACTGTCATGAAGTGTTATAGCCACATGTACCTTGATACTGCTTCATTGAACTCTAAATGATGGGGAGGTGACTTTGAATGTTATTGTGTTGTATAGAATTTGGTGATGGTTCTGGGTGCCATTCGATCACTTGTGCAATTCGTTTGAAAATAGCTTGTTTAAGGACACAGATTAATAAGTTACTTGAGCTGGGCCGTGTAATCTTTGGACTCCTTGTAATTCTATCTTTCACTAGTCCTGTTACTACATTAAATCTCTGTTTCACTGTAAAGTCTTGAACCAATCCGATGCTCATCAATTTCTTAACGTTTGCAGGTTTTGCGACACCACTATAGCATGGCCAGTGGACTTGTCTGATACCTGCCGGTTACATCAGTGTCGCGGTAGAGATATGTTTGTAGCTCACTTCTTTCTTACTGCTTTCCTTTCTCAATAGTCAACCCTGGATTTGTACCAAGGAAGAAGAGTGTGTTTCATTTGGCATTCTGACAATGCTCTCAAGAAAGAACAGCTTTTGGAATAACCAGCTGCTGGTCGAATCCGTTTAATTTTGAGAACACTCGCCTAGTTTATGACCCTTATCTTTTTCGAGTTGGGTACTCATTTCTCTGTATTCTGTCGATCGATGAGAAGATGACATTTTTATGTCTCCAAACTCCAGCTGAGTTGTTACTGTTGTTTTTGAATGTTGAGCTGGTAGCCACAAATCCTGGCAATGAGCGGTTAGGCGGGAACTGGCAGTAGTCACATCAGCCAACTTGAAGCCGGCCGCCCACCGGCCTGTTTGAGACATTATTTATATTTACGTTTTTTTGTTTTTTAATGTGAGAATAATTATTTTAATTTGATAATATATATAAATAATTGGAAATTTCATGTATAATTTTAGAAAATTGTCCCGAATGAGAAGAAAAAGCTCTAGAGAGAAAATCAAAAGAAATAATAGCTGGAACTCAAGCTTAAAATTTCACGCCGTCAAATCTCATTGAGAGAAAATCTTTTTTTTTTTTTGTAGAAATTGAGAGAAAATCTCATTGAGAGAAAATATTTTGCAAGAAAAAGAGAGAAATGATAGTACGAACCAGTTTTTTCTTTCTTCAGAAAAAGTATAAAGTATAAAAAAAATTCTGCGTTCTTTAAAAATTCTTAAAATTCGAAAAGATTTTTTTTTCTCCATTTTCTAATTTTTTTTCGAGTTCTAACCTTTCGTACTTGTAAATTAGAATAATATACTAATTATTAGAATTTGACAAAGACAGACAAATGTGAAAAAAAGGAAACTAAGAATAGCTCAAAATTAATCAAAGAGAAAGTACAAAGTTTATTATGGTAATTAGTTAGCCTGCTTCATCTCAAAAATATTTTTTAATGGTTACGATTTTTCTGAGAAAAAACATTAAATTCAGACTTCAGAGCAATTATGTTGAAGGGGGTTGTTACTAGGGACCCTAGCAAGTCTTGCATGGCTACTATTAGCCATGTAAGCACAAACTTATGAGTTATACTAAGTTATATAACTTGAGGAGTCAATAATAATTAGAGAGGCTGCCCTATTGTAACATAGAAATTAGTTTCAATGTGTTGAACCAATCTAGATTTTTGAGTATCAGTTATATAACCATATCGGAAAAAATGACCCCAATTTTGTGCTCTTTCAATTCGAAGACCGAGAAGTTCGGGACTTGTTCCATTACTTGAGCAATCAAACTTTTTATTTATTTATTCTTTAGGATATCAAGCAATAACGAAATTGAACTAGTGGAAGAACAGGTTACTAATGCCGCCACCATGGATGAAATTGTGGAAGAACCGACTTTTGATGTGATAACTATCAATGACCTTGACGAGTCACAAGATAGTAGGGGTGAGAGAGATTCTACTTCTGACTCAGAAGCAAACTCATTGAACAAAAGTGGCATTACACGCTCACTATCATATAGGTAATTAAGGGATTGTCGTGATGATTATATATATGTAAAAAAATCTCTTGCATGTATTGTCTCGAACTAATTGTATCTTTCTTTGAAACATTTTATAGGGCTATTTGTTTTTTGTTTAGACTTCATATGCTAGCGATTTTTGGAGGTGTAACCATTGGCTACATTCAAACTACGATAAGTATGAGATTGTTATTGTATTCAAAATTTTATCGGCTTAGAAGAAGATTTTACAAAGCATTATAATTTCAACACCTTTGTTCTGATCAATTTTGTTGGGTTAACTTATATGTCAGGTGGAGTTCTTGTGATGAGTAGTTTTCTAAAACACTTTTCTCATTCAACTTATATCGATAAGAAGTTTGCTAAAGTAAACAACTACTGTCGTATGTTAGCACAGAGATACAATTTTATGTAGCTTCACTACCTACACTAGTTGCTTTAGCATACAGCTTCGCACTTCGAAACAACATAAAAAGGGGAAACAAGAACACTTTCACCCTCGCAACCCTTGCACTCTTCCTAGGCTTTGTGTTTATCCAACACTCCCCCAATCCAAGATTCCAAATTATTGCCAATGTGATATTGGGGGTTGGGATTGGATTCTTACATCAGGTTAGTTGATCTCTTTCTTGCTATTTAGTTAAATAGTTTGATAAGCATGTCTTAAGACAAGCTTATAACATTTATAATTTTTTTATTTTTAGATAAGGGTGATATAAGTTATTTTTTGCTGTTTAGGTACTATTTAAGGGGCTCGAAACTGGGACCTCCAGGTTCAAAGCTAGTGGTATTACCACTAGACTAAACCCTTGTTGTATAGCATTTATAATTCTTAATTTACTTTTACCCAATTTACATATTCTTGTTGTTTGTTGTAGGCAACACCGAGACTGCAATATGAATTGGCACCTGAAAAACTAGGTGCAAGATTATCGTTGTTTTTAGTAGCTCCACTACCCTTGGTTCAGGCACGACAACTGTCATCAACTGGCGTACATCCTTAATGGACGACAGATGGAAATTATCGTACTTCTTATTGTTGATCCCAATCTTTGTTTTATTTTGCCTCGACACCCTTTTTGTAAAAAGGTCTCCACTATGGTTGGTGGAGAAAAACAAAGAAGAAAAAGCCCAAGAAAACTTACGAAAAATAAGAGGCACATTAGACATAGAATTAGAGTTTAACAGTATTAGAAGGAGCAAAGTAGAAAGTTGGACTTGCGCACATTTGATGATAGAATAGTGTTATTGTGTACGTTACCTTAATCGCAAGGAGGGGGATGTCGAAGGCAGGAGGACCAAATATACTCGAACTTTGTGAGAGGTTATGCACTTTCTTCGTTACTGACAAATATATATTTTTCGCGAGGAACTCTTATTATTGGATGAATTGATAAAAGAATACCCGCCCTTTATAGTCGTGACTGTTGTCATGGAGGGCGTTTTCGAAGCCTGCAAGCCAACCAACATTTATAGAACAAGGAAAACTGCTTGCAAGAGATGGCTACCTAACCTTAGGCGCCAACATTATTATGCCTTTCTTGAATGCTACTAACCGTTTGGCGAGACAAGTCCAAAGCCAATCCACAATTTAATTGGATATATAACCTGCCTTTCAAATACCACATGTTTTTTGTATGCCATGATGATTTTTTAAAATTTTCAATTGTAAAAACTATTAGGTAGTTTTCTTCAATCCCTTATCTGAAATAATGTATGCAAGTGCAACCATTTGGGTTTGAACAAAAGTCTACCAGTGAGATGATATTGTTACTCACTATTTGACATGTTACACACATTGGGAGAATTGTTGAGATGGATTCATTCATGAAAAAGATTGTTTAGACCAATTCCTTACCTATACTATAGTCTACCCATAACCTTTGGGTTCAAATCAATGAATCAAGGTTTCACCGTTCACGGCACACAAGGCCTAAATACCAAAACTTTCGCCAAACCAAAGGTGTATCACGATTAGCGGTCGTTTGGACGAGGGTTTTCCAAAATGAGAGATTTTGGCCAAAATTTTCTATTCAGGCATAAATAGTTATGGCAATGGGGCGGGGCGGGTAATACCCGATCTATCGTGGGTCAGGTCGGGTAATACCTACGAGGCGGGTTCAAATTGCCATCACTAAACATAAAGTGGTAACTAGGCTTTCAACGAGAGAGAGTAAGGGCTCGCGCTCGCAATAGTTTCAGCCCAACTCAGTTCAGCCTACCAATTATTTTAGGTATTCGACTAGTCAATTTAAAGAATAAGCTGTTGTAAAGCTCCTTATATCGCCTGCACTCAGAAAACAAGTGAGCATGTGTTTCTAGGCTACAACATGAAGTCAACCCCCTGAAATCCCTAAGTGAGCATCTTATCATAAGTAATAGTGAATTCTCTTATGACAAGCCAACTTAAGAACTAATTTATGGGGATGAAAGGAGATTTCCATATCAATTTGGAGCTAGACACTTTTGCTTCTCTAGGCCTTAATTGCTCTCACACCAGTTTAGTTGAAAATTTCCTTAAGATTTTACCATTCTAGCTTCCCACGCCATCATTAACTTCCAGATGCCCATATTTTACAGGTTGTTGTCCATAATTCATGACCATGCATCATGTATTCCCGGATCCAGGGCTACCTAGAGGGAACAATTTTTTTTTGGATAAATACCATATATGCCTTACAAGACAAGCTTGGTTCCAACTATTTGAGGTCCATAATTTCCAGATACCCCCTTTTTTTTTGGAAAGAAATTCTACTCCATGCTACGACAACCTTCTGTCTCCCTTCAACACCAACTCCCTAAAGAAAGTCACGGCAAAGTTTCTCTATCTCAACAATATCCCTTTAGGCAAAATAAAAATTCTCATCAAGAACTGAACCAAACTGTAAAGGACATACATCACTAGTTGAAGCTTTCCAGCATAACTCAACAACTTGGATCCTCAACTGGATTCTACTCATGATTTTTTCAAGTAAAGGCTGACAAGCTTTGATAGAAAGTTTATATGGGATAAGGGGAATCCCCAAGTATCCACTAGCAATGTCTCAAGCTTGTAGCTAGCCCTATGTGACATACTTTCCTTCCACTTTTTAGGCAATCCATCACACTATAATTCTAATTAGAAGGGTTATAGATAAGACCAGAAAGATCCCTGAAGTGAGATAAGACATGTTGTATGCATTGTATTCCATAGGTTGTACCATCCGAGAAGAGTAGCAGGTCATCAACAAACATAATATGTGTCAGGGCAATTCTTTTGCATATTGGATGAAAATAAAGCCTAATTTCCTCCACCACTACTCCCGTAAGACACCAAAACACCTCCATTACCACTGCAAATAAGTAAGCGAACAAGGGATTCCCCGCCTAAGACCTTTATGAATAGAGAAGTAACCCACTACCCCTCCATTAAAGTCTACACTTAGCTTAGGAGTGGTGATACACAGAAATCCATATGATGAATTAATTTGGGAAGCACATAGTAACTAATACCTTCAGCAAAAATCAGCAATCCACAGAGTTAAAAGTCTTCATCAAGTCAACTGAACAATACAACGAGGTGAAATATGTTTCCATGTATACTTTTGCACTATTTCGTGAGCTAAGATAATATTTTCACCTATAATTCTGTCCTTAACAAAAGCATTTTGTTTTTCACTTATTAAATATCGCAAGGATTCACTTAGTCTAGAAGAGGTCATCTTTGCAATGCATTTGTAGAGAATGTAAGAGCAAGATATAGGTCTGAATAACTTCATTTCTTTTGGATTTTTTGTTATAGGAATGGAGCAAGTAGTGTTGATTTTACCTCTTTCGGAAATATTGACTTAGCAAAGAAGTATTGAATTGCTACAACTATTTATGACACTATTGTAATCCAAGCAGCTTGGAAAAAACAAGCAGCATAGGGCTTATCTCTCTCTTAAA